AAAACTTCCGTTTTCAAGCTAAGCAAAGCAGTTACAATGATTATAAAGAACTGATAGGTAGGATAGCTGCAATCTGTAATCTGATATGACAAGTGTCTACCTCAAAACCCAAATTCTGAACTGGTGGCTAAAGAGGTTGACTAGATACGAGAGAGAAATTGTATCTTTATAAATGTAGTATCAGAGACATGACTGGTAGGTTTGATAGCATTCAAAATTCTTTGCACGTACAACTACTTTGTTACACAAATTCAGGGCTTTTGCAGAAAGCAATGAATTTTTGACATTACAACTTTATTTTTTTCCATAATGACAGGAAACACATTTGATATTTCAAATGTTTAGATTACCCAGATCAAATATTATCCAGGCAGTGCAGTACAAGGCACTTTAAAATATGAGGTTCTTTGGGATAAAACTTGTGCTTTGCCTTGGCATCAAAGATGGCAGAAACAGTTTTAACCTTAGCATCATCACTAAATTCCCTAATGCCCTTTCTCATCGTTCTTCAAAGCATGTGTTATACTGCTTAATGATCATGCAAAACTCCATAGCTAGCTTTATGTGAATGATGCTAGTATGCATGCTGGTTTAATACAACCTTTAGCTATCCTTTGGGCCAAAGGACAGTATGAAAATGAAAGAGGTCATCTCTTTAGGAATACTGTAGCCATCAACAGAAAAGGAAAATACTTTATACAAAACCTGAAAATTTATGGATTTTTTAAAATCTCATTTAAGAAGTTACATATTTCACTTACTGTTGTTGCTCAATGAAAATAAAAAGGAATTCTTGTAGAAAAGACTTGCCCATAAATGAGGCAGTTGAACAGAAAGACTTGTGTGCCTATGAATTATAGTTCCAGGCTGCTCATACTCTGCCTTAAAGCTGTGTATTCTTTCTCTGTACTTGTGCAATGCATTTATATTGGAAGGCCCTCTTAAAACTGGGTGATCTATTGGTTTAGGGAGCTAAAGATTGATTCCAGATGTGGTCATGCTCTTCTAGCCCTTCAAAAAGTAACTACTGCACCATCTGTTTTGTAATAGACAATTTCAAAGAGTGCCAAGGGGAATGTTAAAGACATTGGTCAAAGGGCCACATATACCTCACACACAGGAATCTTAGAGGTCATAGTGCCTCAGACAGACCCATATTTTCACTTTTTTTCCCCATTCTTCCACCATAGAAATTCAAGGAACAGCTCTCCTTCCTCCCAAAATAGGAAGGAAATGTTTTCCAGATTATTACCAGTGTTGACATGTATGAGGACAAATTCAGACCTGAATTCAGTGGAATGACTGGAATTTGTGGTGACATAGCTCTTATACCTGCCCCACTTTTGTATCCTTGTAGATTATTCCAAACAGTTTTGGTGTTTGTTTTTCTTTAAATTAACTCAGTAGCAGAAGGTTAATGCTAAACTGACTTCAGATATGGCTGGTTGCCCAAGACAAATGAAGGGTGCAACAGGTACTGAAAGGTCGTACCAGATCATGATCATTTTTATTTTTCCTGGTTATTTCAGGAAGTTTGAAGTAAAGGAATTGTGTCTGTTCTTCTAAATGACGCTATGCATTAATATCTACATCTTGGGTGTATAAAAAAGATGCACTCGGGTCTAGCAGAAACATAACTTAAGATCTTCAGAATAGTAAAACAGGAGTAAAAGAAGTTCTCTGAAGACTTTCCAAGTATAAATCTGAACGTTAGAGCAGCAAGTAATGATTTATACCAAATAGTCCTGAGAAAAGGTCTAAAATGAAAACAAAAGGAAACAGAAAATCTGCTAGAGGTTAGACAATCACAATCTTGTGCAGTCCCCGAGAGTCACTTTTGTTGCAGTGACCTTAAGTAAATCATTGGTAAAAAGAAATAAAGATTAACAATATGTCTCCAGTTCATTCCTCTTTGTTTTTTCTAGTGCATACAGTCATGTTTTATACCAATTCTTTTAATAAGTTATTACAAAAGTAGCTTAGGACTAGCAGACCAGTGTACCTACTTAAATTTCACTGATTTTGCTGTGGTTCTCTCCATTGAGGAGCACACCGCAGAATCAGCGCCTTAGTGTCTGGGCATACTTAGGCCAGATCTTCAAGTTCAAATTATGCTGCTGTTAAGTAAGAAATAAATTAATAGGAGTAACAGCTCCTCACCATTTGCCTCTCCTTAGTATTATTAGAACTGAATTTCTCTTAAGCCCCAGTCTGTTTGGGTGGTATAAGGGAATTCCATACAGCAAGCTTTTCAGTATTAAACATTATTAAAACAAGGAAAGGTTAGAAAGCAGAATAGGAAATGTCTGCTTTGTTGGAGGGCTTCGTCACAACTTTTAAAATTAAATACATCCAAAAGAAATACATTATGAGAGGCTAATATACATATTAGTGTGGTAGGATGCATACAAACCTGTTAGCTACAGCAAAGGCCCCGTGGACAAGGACAAGATTTAATTCAAAATAACAGACCCAAAGAATAACACTTAGAAGTAGATGTTATACGTTGCAGCTACTCACAATTACACTCCAAACCAAAAGCTGCAAGTAGAAAATGGTGTCTGAAAGAAGGATCCAAACCAGAAAATATTTTCTGGGACAATCACGTGGAGCTAGCCTATAGGAATCATAGAGAGGAGATGGTTTTGAGACCCCAGTTTCTACAAACCTTGTCCAGAGCTACAGAAACACCTCTCATTTCATCTTACGTAGGTATTTGTACTCCCCAAAACAAGCCAAACAAACAAACAAAGCAATCTGAATAAAATTCACTCTTGCAAACCAATCATTATAGTCGTCACACCTCTTGCTGAGGCTAGTGTTCCTGGAAGAAAAGGCCTCCAGAATGATGTATTTAGAGTTTTGTTTTAGACACTCATGACACTTCAGCTTAATTCCTGCTTTTGTTTAAGAAGTTTTCACTTTTTATCAGTTCTAGAACATAGTCAACAAATTATGGGAGTTACAGATCTTACTCTATTCCTGTGCTTCCTAGGCACAAATTCTGCTTTTAATTCTTGCAACAAAGAGCTGAAGACTGATCCATCCTTTGAAAAATACTCAAGCATTACCTTAGATGAGTCATTAGTTAGAGATCAAATAAAGAAAATCCAGAAACTCACTGTCAGAAACTCCTCTCTCCTTACTCTAAATTCAACCCTAAATGTACAGATAGATCTTTCAAAGCTCATTGTTGTCTGGGCTGAGAGGCTAATTTGCTCCAGATGAGCCCAGCATTCACCCACTTCACTCTAAGGACAGACACCTGTGGCACATCTTTTGCACTGAAAAAACATGCCATCCACTTGCTAGCTACTGGCTGGGTCATACACACACCTTGTCAAAGTGATCTATTTCATTTAAGATATATAGATCCAAAATTACACAGCCCAGAGAAAAAGGAAAGCAATCATTTTATTCACTTGACAGATGCTGTCTTGAGGAGAGTTCAATTTGTAACAGTAGTTAATCATTCACAAACAAAAGAATACAGTTTTAATAACTAACTCATTTATTCCTCACAGCAGAGGATTAAGACATGGTGTACTGGATAACTGGTACAAAATACATGCTCCATACATATTTTTTTTGAAAACTTTATCATTTTAATTTTTGTTGTCTATGTAGCTCAGAAGCAAGAATTATTACATAGAAAGGTCTATTTCCTTTCCCAGCCATCTTTTGAAACGACTGGATAATAGCTCTTTTTTTTTTGGCTGATAGTGTGGCATCCAGCCAGGACGGATGCCTTCCACCTGCCCACACCACAATTACCGACCACGAACTCTGGGTCGCTGATAAGGACTCCAGCATTCTCCCCCTGGTTCACTGACAGGAGGAGCTCGTCCTTGATTGCTGTGAGGTTGCCGATGTGCTGCCAGGCAAATTGCACAGAAGTCACTCTGGCCACCCACGAGGAGGACACAGTTTTGGGGCACAGTTGTGCCCTGCAGAAGAACTGTCGCGTGTCTCTCTGCAGCTCCTGCCAGATACCCTGCAAGGCTTTGCCCTCCTCCCCGGCCCCACACTGGAGGAGGTTGGCCAGCGTTCTTCCACCGCGCTATCCTTCCACAAAGGCCATTGCTTGAAGGTGTACAGTTGTCCAGGGGGAGGAAGATGCCACGGCAACCTCCACACTGAAACAGGACCTACCCTATCAGTGTGTTGATGGCTATGTTATACCTATTACCGACACACACACTGTTATACCCATTATGTGTACGCACAGTGGCGGTATAATGCGTGCAGGGCAGCGGATGTGTAACGTCTGCAATCATTTGCAGCCCCCGTGCGCTCTGGGGACTGAGCCCATGTGAGAATCCGGCTGTTAAGGTTCCCTTCCCCAAAACTACAGGCTGCGTTTGGGGAGCAAGGCCACGGCCTCCCAACCCCCTGCTCCCCCGCCATCTTCTGA